GATGGCGTGGCAGCCTGTAGGGCCTATCATTTCCTGCCTGTAACATTTTATGCTGTGATTCTATATGGTGTCAGGAACAACCACACCCTTCTGAGGTCATCCATTTCTTCATTTGAAAAGCAGGGACAATAATGCCTATCTTCAGAGTGGAATGAGCAGGCTGCCATCAAATAGCAGCTGAAACCTTGGCAAGATGCCTTTCTATCCATGGGCAACTGGTGGGTAGGACCTGAGCTCTGAGTAGTCAGTAGCCAACATCCTGCTCAATGAGCATAGCCCTGTCTCTAGGAAGAATTTGGCTCTGTCCAGTAGTTCTTTTTTTTTTTTAATTCTGTCTCTGCTTGAAGAACAAAACAATAGTTGAATCATATACCAAGATATGTCAGACCTTAGGCTCTAATGTTCCCCCTGCTCATGGAGAACATTCCTTAACAACATCAAAATCAAAGTTTATCTGTCTACTCATGTCACTCCGATCCCCAAACCAGAACAAGAACGTGAACCCTTATGATCAGGAACATGTACTTGCTGTTACCTAATCAGAACTTCTGCTTGACAGTGACTATGACTGTTAGCTTTCTGTTTGTAATAATAAAGTATTGAAGGATGTCACATAACAGTTTCCCTCTAGTAGTCTCCAACGTGGGAACAACAGATAACAAATGTCAACATCTTCTAAAGTGATGGTCACGTTGTTTTATCCTGGATCCTCAGCGAAACAGGCACCCAGGACGAGGAATTGTGTAATTCAGTAGAGGCAAGGTCACCTTGAGGGTGACTTAACTAGCTGATCACCACCATGGGCACAGAGGTTCCATGCCTGGGATTCCTGTCAGGATAAGAAGAGAGAAGATTTCATCAACTGTCCCCTAGCCTAACTTGATCAAGCACAGCTCCTTGAGGAATTGACTCTCCCAGTTTCAGGTCTACATGCATGATGTTTATGAGTTATGAAGAAGGCTCTTGCAGGGGTCTTATGTAAATATGACACCCCAGAGTACAGAGCGATGCAGGTGAGAAATAGTATACCTATCATAGGATAAGGAGAGGGGCCATGATACACATTCATACAGATTTGCCAATAGGTAGCCAGCATATTCCTGACCAGTTCCTACTAATAGTTAAACCTCAGGATCAATTTAAAAAGCAAGCTATGATCAGATTCTTTGAAGGAAGGGAATTTGCAGGTCTAGAAAGTACTGTCATTGTCCTTTCTCTCATCATGACTCTTTGCCACTATTCCAAACCAAGGAGAGGTTCCTTTCAACTGGAAGTGTTTAACAAGAAAGCACTGTCTCCTAGCAGACTCACATGTCCTGGTACTTATCACAGGGTCTGGACGTGAGAGTTCCTGGGAAACACATGATTACAAGCATTTGTGAAGATGGCAGATTTCCGAAAGTTGTAGCCTGTCTGGAAAAGCCATCAAGAGCAGATCAAACACAGGTAATCTAGTAGCTAAGGACCCTTGCAGCTTGGTGGGACACACATGCAGCTAGGGATGCATTTAGCTAACTGGTCACCTCATGAGGAGATGCATACTCAAGCCAGCATCAAGAGAGCTTGACCAAGGGAACTGCCAGATTGAATGAGGGAAGGATTTGGGAGGAGCTGTCTCCAGGGTGTACACTAACCAAGACTATATGAGCTCAGCCTGAGAGTGGGACAGCATCCGTGTCTGCAGAGCTCACCCTAAGACTCCCACAGCAGCTCTATGGAAATCAGCTGGCTGTGTGGTATGTAGTAGGCTCTGATGGCCGGGTGTCAACAGCAATGGTTTAGCCTCTTTTCTATTAGAAACCTGAGAACCAGGAGAAAAGCCCCAAGAGAAGAAAATCAAATACTATACTGAAAACCACTCCCACAGGTGAGATGATGTGAGAGGGGTACAGAAACAAACAAAAATCTAGAGAGCTGGGGATGAAATTCTGATAAAAAATGGAGATGAACTTTTAAATGTTCTTTTTAAAGAAAAATGGGAACTGTGTGGGTTTAGTTTTTTTTTGGGGGGGGGTTAGATCTGAAAGGTAATAATCAAAGAAGTAGTATTTTAATTAGAGTTTCTATTGCTGTCAAAAGATACCATGACCATGGCAACTCTCATAAAGAAAATCATTTAACTGGGGGTTGACTTGAAATTTAGAGGTTTAGTCCATTATCAGCATGGTGGGAAGGAGGGTGGTATGCAGATGGCATGGTGCTGGAGCAGAGCAGAGAGTTCTACTTCTGGATCAACAGGCAGCAGGAAGACAGAGTGACATGGGCCTGACTTGAGCAGCTGACAACTCAAAGCCCAACCCCATTGACACTTCCTCCAAAAGGCTACACCTACTCCAACAAGACCACATCTCCGAACAGTGCCACTCCCTACGGGCTTATGGGTGTCATTTTCATTCAGACCACCATGGACAGGTTCATTCCAAAATATGTCTCTAGGAAAGGAAAGAGGTTTCCAAAGATTTGAAGAAGAACGGAGTTCTTAGTTGGTCCTTCCAGTAATAAGATTTATCCTTGAAACTGGACGCAAACTCTGATCCTCACACTGGCACCTGGAGGACCAGAGGCAGACAGGACCTGCGAATACACCTGGGATCAACTGCCCACCTGCTGAATGCTGGTGGCTGATGGCTTAGAATTCCTCCATCCTACAGGCCAGCTCCACCAACAAATCCTCTGCACCTATAAACAACTAGCTTTGATTTTCATGGCTGGAAGAATTTATTTGGGGGGGGGATTGGTTTGATTATTATTTCATTTTCCCTGCTCAATATCTATCTATCTATCTATCTATCTATCTATCTATCTATCTATCTATCTATCTATCTATCTATCGATTCCCTTTACATTCTCATGGCAGATAAGCTGGATCACTTCCTGTCCATGTCTGACACTCACCTAGTCCTACATTAGTTTAATATCTAGAGATCAGATTTTGGTTATGGATGTTTGTAGAGTGTTTCTCTAACTTTAAGTTGTATAAGAATGCCCAAGGGATAGTTGTTAACATGGATATCTCCAGTATCTTACCCCTACAGTTTCTGACTCAATGTACAGTCTACAGAAAGCTGCTTGAAAATCATGTTTTAGAAAACATGCTGCCAGGCAGAACTTTCTTCTGTGAGGAAATGTCCATCCTTGGGGCATTCAAACATGGGTCATAGTCACAGCTCTCATGTGGCTAATGGGACCAAGGAAGATACTTTCAAATAGAATTTTCTGAAACTTAAGTTTACTTAAATTTAAACTACCATTTGGGATTGGAATGGTTGTACTGGTGAGTATGTCTTGAAATCTAGGTACTCAGCTGCAAACCAAACATGCAGCACCATTTGGGATCTTCTACGGTAAAATGCAGACTTTCAGGTCAAACCTTGAGGCAACTAAATCAGCATTCACATATTAACCTGATTCTCGTTTTGGAATACTGCAGAGTCTCTTTGAACTTTTCTGTCCTGTTCCTATTCTATTGTAGAAAATTGAGTTCTGGCAGGTCTTGCCAAGGTAGATGTGACTGTAACTAACATTACTGGTCTGGAGTGGAGGGTAAGAAAATTGCAGTCTCCTTGGAAAACACCCTTTCTGTATGAGAGCCAGGTTTGGGCCTTATTCTGTAATCAACAGAACTGTAGTAAAGGTGGTTAAGCAGGCAGGGAGTGTTTTATGGGTGTAATGTTCACAAGCATGGAAGAAACTTAAAGGAGATGGTAACACTGAGAAGTAATCTCTGCAGCTCACTGGCTCTACCTTACGTATATCTATTGAAAACCAGGTTTATCTCATCTTATCCCAGATTTGAAGGATAAAAATATTTAAGAACTACAGCAGTGAATCTACTCTACAGTAAGCATCCACGGGAATATCAACCAGAGCTTCAGAACACTGCAGTACTTTTTATCTTTAGACTTCAGGGGGAAAGAACATGTCCTTCAGTTGTAATTCTAAAGAGTATTTTTCTGTGATCAACCAAGTACTCATCATTTACAGTATGGTCCTTGCATTTTCATTCACCATTGAAAGCTTTCAAAGTGTGCTTTTTAGGCATATCAGGTTTTTATTTAAAGCATATTGCTGAGACATGAGCATATTTCATCCATTTGCATTGGGATAGTCTGTTGTCATAATAGACCAAAATGTTAAAACAGAAAGTACTTGTGACTGATGGTAGGGAGACAGAAAAGAAGGCATAGAAAAAAGTGGGGGAATTTAAAAGAAATGTCAGTTTTTATTACTCTAGTCCTGAGAATCCTTTGACGGATTTCACAATTTAATTCAATTAAGTTTTTCTACATGTTAAATTAAGATTGACACCAGCTACTCACTCTGCTGTTTTGAAAGTTTCATGTCTGGTACTATGTAGGGTCTGTGCAAGAGGGATACGGATGCGGGAAAAGGGTTTAGCCACTTTCAGCCCATTGAGACATGATAGTTTCTACATGGATTCCCAAGAACAAGGACTTACCCACTGTTCTGTGTAGTCTCTACCAAACTTTCCCAAAATACACAAATGTCTTTAAAAGGTTCCTATGAGACAACAACAAACCAAACATAAGTCATCAATCACAAAGTCACATATGAGCAACAATTGCTGATGCTTCTGTTTCTGGAACAAGCTGTTTGCAGCTTCACAAGGAAACACTTAACATTTTGCCAAGAAGTCAGCTCAAAAATTTAAAATGATCACAAAGATTTTTCCCAAGTGAGGATTTGAGCATCTGTGGTTCATGAGGGCTTTCACATTTTACAGCCACAGTGATGACTGTGACTGTGACTTCTACATCACTAGAGAAGCTACAGAGGAAGACGATGAAGGCAAACTCACCTGTTCAGCAGTGTATGGCATCCTGAGATACCAACCTTAAGGTCTGTGATCAGCAGTGTATGGCATCCTGAGATACCAACCTTAAGGTCTGTGAAACATTGCTCACAAAATACAGTGGCAAATATTTATACATTTTAAACGTGTTCTCACTTAGTAGAAAAAGACAAAAAGTAGCACGCTGTTTAAAAACTATAGATTCTTCATGCCAAAGAAATGTGAATGAAATAAAGACAAAGCAATGAGGGGAGAGATAGCTGCATCCTTTTGTCAAGAAGCATCACAGGAGGACACAGAGAAAAGTCCTTTGACAGGCTGAAAAACCTCAATGAAAGTATTACGTGTACAGGCTGGTAGGTTGAATGAAGGGACAAAGTTTCCTCTTGCAGTGTGGCTGTAAGGAAGATGTCATGGCTGAGGTAAGGTAGAGCTGGGGGATAGCTCAGTCTGAAAAGTGCTTGCTGCACAACAGCAGCCTCCTTGTAATCAAGATCTGGGGAGGTAGAGACAGGCAGATACTTGGTGCTTGAGGTTAACCAGCCTAGCCTTCTTGTGAGCTCCTGGCCAGTGAGAGACCTTGTATGAATAAAAAAGGTGGATGGCTCTTGAGGAACAACAAACACCTGAAGTTGACCTCTGACATCTACATATATGGACACACATTCGAGTGTACCTATATGGCCAAAACACACACATGGGGGGGGGGAGAGAAAATAGAATATTCTCAAAGTAATGTTTCCAATCCCTGATGGAGTGGCTTCTTTGACTGAACTCAGACAGTGGCATTCATTCACATGAAGAACTAACACATCATTTACAGGGGAGAAACGTCCACATGTGGCATGCTTCACTGACATGGATTTTATAAAGTCACATTTTAAATAAGTAAAATATTTACCATTCTTTGTGATACGTTGAAAATTTTCTGACCTTTATAGACTACAATGGTAACTGGTCAATTGCTACCTAAGCAAATGTTTTGAATATATAACTATATGAGATAATTGTACATATATCTTGTTTATATATTTTTTTAAAAAGTTACCAAACACTCTCCATCAGTCATCTACTGAAGACAAGAAGCTCTTTCGAACTTACAGCCTCGTGAAGGGACAGACATGGACACTAGTAACTGCTGCATAGGACAATGTGATAAATACTCAACGGCCACAGCAAAGGAAGGAAGAGGATCTAGAACTGGCAGGAGGGGAGTGAGTCAAGGAAGACCTCCTGGAGAAACAAAGCAAGGGCAGAGTCCTGAAGATATCCAACAGTTCCCAGGACAAAAGAAGCTAGCATTGAGATTGCAGGAAAACAGGCTTGTACTGGGCAGAGGGTCTGTGATGCTTACAGCATGCACATACGGGATAGAGGGAAGAGATGATAAAAGTAGGGGCTTACTAGGGATTTCTTCCACAGTAGAAGGCATCTACTTGCTAAAATGTCTACAAAATATTTCGATGTGGAATGTCTACACTAGATTTATGTCTTATCAGATCATCCCTGAAATAAATTGAAGGCAAAAGAAGCTTGAGCACAAAGCCTGCCTACTTGAGCTGAGAAATGCTGAGAGTTGAAGAAATGAGGAGCAGGAAGTGAGAGAACAGATGCAGACAGCATCCCAGAGGCAATGCCAGCAGGAGCTGGTGACAGGCTGCAGGTGGAGTCAAGCAAGCAGTCATGTCCAGGAAGACCCCGGAGTGTCTTGTGATAACCAAATTTTCCCCCTCAACAAAAGTACCTCTCCCTGGCTGTGAGGCCATCTGGCAATGTCCCGTCCATGGCAGCTTCCATTTCCAAATGGAACCCACGAAATTAACAGAAATGCTTCCTTATATAAGTCCTCAGGGCAGAGACCAATCAGCTGAATCAAAGTATGTAAACCACAAAAGATTCCCAGCTATTCACCACATGAAGCTACAAAATGTCACACACGAAACCTCAAGGTGAGTAAATGAAGCCATGATTAGGTGGTATAATAATATTCTTGGGGAATATTTTATCCATACCAAGTACTGCCAAATCAATTAATAACAGCTGAGTCTCCATATGCCAGAGCAATCAGGCCTATGACTGGATATTAAGAAATAGTGCCTTCACTCACACCCAATTTCTATGTTTCTCTAATACTCATAAATATTTAATTTAAACTAGAAGACAAAAAGGTCAACTTAACATCTTAACACCAGAAAAGCTAAGCAGAAAACCATGCATTTTCCACCTGTTTGGATTAATATTCTAATAGTAACATTTCTATTGATTTCTAAAGATTTTATATTATTTTATTTTTACATTAAAAATTACAATCCATATTCTCTTTAATGAGTCATTTTGATTGATTTTTGACAAGAGGAAAATATACATATGTTCTTTACACCAGTACAAAGGAGTAAGTGTAGTCGTCGTGGTGTAATTTAAGACGCTGGGGAGTCTTCGTAAAGGACTTCATCTACCTTCATGTCGTGCTCATCCACTGGGACCTGGGGACAGATCTGCTCTATAAAAGCCAAAGCCATGGTGTAGGGCTTCACTTCCTGATGCTGTACACAGCGCTTCAGGTAGGAGTCATAGTACCCCTTGCCCCGCCCCAGCCGGTTGCCATCTTTGTCAAACCCGAGGCCAGGAAGGAAGATGAGGTCAAGTCCACCTGTGGAAAACAGAAATGTCCTTGGAATATCAATGGTCACTTCAAGACTGCTTCAGGATAGCATGTTATTTCTATTAACATCAATCATTTTGCTTATTTTTTTAAGTATATAATCCTTGTGAAATCATAAAAAAAAAACCAAGTTGGACAAAGGAAAAGATTCTTCAGCAACATTATTAGTCCTACATCCATCCTTCCGAAGTTCTTTGGTGTGCCTCTATAGAAATGGCAGGTTCCCAGCCTCGTCCACATCAGTGAGAGGACTTTCCATAGGCAGACCTCAGACCGTTCTTTAACTCTAGCATGTGGCTGACTGTTCACACCTGTCTGGTTTGGGAGCCAGTACCCTGGGATAATGACAGAAGGAGGGATGTGAGAAGGCCAGGGAAGACAACAAGAATGGAGCTATTTCATAGCTGTTAAGAGTACCATGCAGTCCACAAGGCCCACTCCTCTTCCTTTCGCTGACAGACAAGGGTAGGCTCAGACTTAAAGCTTAGGTGTGGGCTAAGCACACAGACAGCACTGCTGGCACAGCAGACCACTGCTGAAAGCCAAGGACTGTCCAGCTCAGGATGCTAGAAGTAGGTTGTTCAAATAGATCCGTCCTGGCTTCAAGCAGCTGATGACTTCCTCTGAAGTGAACCCCACTTCCTGTTCCTGCATGTACGTGTTCACCTTACCTGTAACATCCCACATGAAGAGCTCAGGTACAGTCAGATCCAACCCTCCAAGCCTGCCTGTCTATTCCAAGGCCTGATTGCTTAAACAAATAAAAAAAGGTGACGTCACTGATCTTTCCTCTCTAGCCCTGTCCCATTAATTTGTCTCTACAGGAATGAACAGTGTACTGTACATATGGACCCTGCTCTCAAGGGTCTTCTTTACGTTTCCTGAGCAACTAAATTAAAGTTCCTGTCTTCTAAACCTCTAACACACATATATGTACTATGATTTCTGCCTCTCCACATGTGAAAAGGTATTCTGTAAAATCTTCAGAGAGGACACAAAGTCCCTGCCTTCAAGACATGGCAGTTCAGTTAAAATAATGTGTAACATCAGGCCAAGACAACATCTCTGTCAACTGTCCTCAAGCTACAGAAGCAAAGGCTCTAGCGACACCAGCAGAGAGGAAATAAGCTTAGCTGGGTGGTTTAGTCCTGTTCATGGAGTATTCTGACTTGACATGGGATTTTTAAGAATGTGTCAAGAGCCAGGCTATATCCTGGAAGCCAAAAGAAGGGTGGCAGGTTGGTGCCACAGGAAGGGGCAAGCTGCAGTCTCATATGGGGCAGAAAGACTCGGGCAAGGAGTAAGATAGATGTGCAGTTCTCTCCAGCAGTGGAAGAACAAAATGCCAGGACAATGGCATACTGGGTTCTCAAAAAATTAAAAGTAGAACTATCATAAGATCTATGGTACTCTACTCCTAGGCATTTATCCAAAAGAATTAAAATCAAGATCTCAGCAGATCTTTACACTTCCACTTTCATGTAGAAGTGTACCCAATAGCCAAAAGGTAGAATAGCCTAAACGTTCATCAGAGTAATAACTGATCAAAACAAACAAATAGTAACTAAAACCATGGTACATGCATATGGTAATCTGTCATATATTAATATGCATATATTAATCTGTCACAAAATTGAAGAAAATTTTGTAATGGACTTGGATGAACTGTGAAGACACTAGACTAAATGAAAAAAATCATATAAACACATGCACCGTATGGTTCCTCTTATATTAGGTATCTAGAATAGTAAAACTTTTATAAACAGAAAGTAGAATGCCTTTTGCAAGTGTCTAGGGAAAGATACTGTTTGATAAGTACAGCATCTCAGCCATGCAAGATGAAAAAGTTCTAGAGGTCTGTTATGACATTGTGCTTATGGCCAAAATAAAAATACTTAAAATTTTAAGAGGTTACAGCTCATATGGATTACTAGTTAACATAATAAAAAATAAACTATAAAAGCAAAGCAACAAAAAGGGACGGCAACAAAAACACTAGGATATTCACCAGTGTCAACTCATATGGAAAGAAAGCAGAACTTTGGAGCCACTACAGTCATGCTGGTGGAGAAAGAGACTAGAGAAGACAAACAGTCAAGGAAAGCCATTCCAGCCCTCATGCTGGAATCAAGTTTACTGCTGCTGCTCCTGCTCCTCCCTGTGCTTGGTCTGCTGCTCTCCCTGGAGTCTATCTTGTAGAGCTGAGTGTGTATGTCTCTGTCGACTAGGCTGGACAGCAATTTTCCTTGCAGGCCATAATTTTTTCCAAGCCATCCTTCACGCTTGAATTTTAATAGACTTCTAGAGCACAAAGACCCTGAAAGATGAGTACATTATCTTCAGACAGATCAATCCTGGCATGGCACCCCCTACTTTAATAACTCTAAGATATATATATTTGGATTAAAGAAGTGACATTATGGGACAAAATGAATAAGTCTCTCCTCACATGGCCACTGGTTAGACGTAAAACTCTATACCTGTTAAGGAGAAGTGGGAATGGCCTTTGGGCCATTGTGTAACTCAGGGATCTGAAATTGCCCTGCAGAAGTCCCGGCACCCTATCTGGGATGCTGGCTTTGAGTCCAGACCTATATAACTGCTTCTACCCAAATCCCTTCTACTATTTGTGTACTTGACTGTGGCCTGGTTCCAGTCGTTACTTAAGTCCTTTCTTGAGTGCTCTCACTTCTGCCGTTTGTGTTTTTCTGAATATATACTGCATTCCTTACTGACTTCATCCATCTGCCGTTGCCCCTGAAATTTCTGTGGCTTAGCACCATCTTTTCTTCCTTTCTCTCCTCTTCCACTGCCTGATACACACAATGTACACTCACAACCTTACCTTCCTACTTACCTCTCTGGGACTCTTCACACTTCATAACACTACTTCTGAATGCCACCTTTCCCCAGCGAAGAAATCAGTAAGACAAGTAAATCAGGTATGGGCTCAACAATTTTCCCATGCCACATATACTAGAGTATGACCCTAGACATACCCTAATGTACTACAAAGTCAAAATTCAGTCGGAAAAACAGAAACACCTTCCTTCTTCATGCATATTCTTCATGCATACATGACCCTATTTACAATCAGCAAAGGCTCATTAACAGAAGGCATTTGCATAGCTTCCATCACAATCCTGATTTCAGTTAACCCCTTGTGCTCTTGACTCACAGGCCTGGCTAGAGTGAAATGTAAGTAGAAGAGCTAAAGAGCTACACTCATCAGGATGGCAGGCAACAAGACCTTCGGACAGAGGTCTCTGGGGGTCAGTCAGTTCCTCACACAGTCACACTTTATTGTTTTTGTTCTTGCTGGGAGAGGTGGTTTCATAGCTCTCTTGCACTCAAAACTGCAAAGCTGACCTTTGGAAGACCACACCAGCCTTATATCCTGCATTTGTTTGCAATCTTTCTTTTTCCCATCATTTGCTATTGCTCTGAAAGAGCAGCCTCCTCTGAAGGCAGCTGGTAAGGGGAAGGACCATGCTATTTCCTAGCTGTGGGATCGAGGGTGAGCAGCCTTCCAGTCTGTGCTTTCAACATTACCACCTGCAAATCTGCTTGTTCATCTGCTGTCACAAACATTAAATCAGATAACGCTTATGAGCAATATAGTCCAAGAAAATCACATCTCTTATGAGACTTTCTCCTTTGAATTAAGAAATACGAGGCACCATTTCTTGAACTGGTGGAGAAAGGGATGAAGTTCCTCTGGAACTTCCATGGAATTGAGCAGAGCTTCTTTCTTCAATTTTCCCTTAGAACTGGTTTGTGTATGCATTCTTTCTGCCTCAGGCCTCAGCCAAAGAGAGAGCAAGAAAACTAGGAAAGTGTAGGTGAAGAGCCTGATTGAGGTGTGTTGAATTTTGCTTTCTATAAAGAGCCAGGGGTAAATAATTTAGGCTAGGAGACACTGTGGACCATAGGTCAGTTTTGTACTGTGAAAGTGGCCTTAAGCAGTGTGCATGTGTGTGTGTGTGTGTGTGTGTGTGTGTGTGTGTGTTTTTGTGTGTATGCTTATTTACTAAAATAGGTAAAACAGGTAAAGGACCAGACTTGATCCACAGGCTACAATTGTCACCCTGTCATGAGATATAGAAAAGGTTTCTGAAATAAGAACAGAGGTGAAAGGTGGACAGGATAAGAACAACATCTATTAGCAGTGGCAAGAAGAGAACTGTTACAGTAAGGAACACAGAGGGAATGGGAACAAGCAGCACTGTGGACTCTCCATCACCAAAAGGAACCATAGGAAATAGGCTTTTAGAGAAAATAAAAGAGGATTTTATGCATGCTTCTATTCACCCTAGTTCTGAGGATTTAGCTCACCCTAGAGAACATCAGTTTCAGTAAGACAACAGTGATGTCTCTGACAACACCCTGAACACCGACTCCCAGGACAGAGGTCTCCAGGATGGAGCCTGTTGAACTGTCTCCCACTGAACTGTCTCTGCCCTGACCCTGAGAATGAGTGATGGAGCCCAAGAGATACACATAGCCCCTGGAGTCAAGGAGCACCGTTCTTAGCAATCTTCTCCTCCCTTTGATTCTCTTTATCTTGCATTTCTTGATCACATCTTCTATACACTCTCCTTTAGGAGCTTCACAAACATGACTTAGTGCAGTCACTCCTCTGCCCTAGGGCCAGGATTCTCACCTTGTGGTTCTAAATGTACTATTCCTCCAGAAAGCTCAGCTGATTGTCCCACTTCCTAAAATGCAGGCTTTCTCCTGGCTCTCCCTTGTTCAAAAGCATTTAGCAAGACTGGGAATATAGCTCAGCTGCAGAATGCTTACCCACTGTCCAAAGCCCTATGCAAACAGGCATGGTAAACCATATATGCAATCCCAGCCTGTAATTTTAGCAGGAGAATCAGGAATGCAAAGTCATCATTGGCTATATAGAGTTCCAGGCCATCCAGGGTTACATGAGATCCTGTCTCAAAAAACATCAACAATTCCAAAAAGAGAAAGAAAGAAAA